TATTAATAAAAAAAGAAAGGTACGAGAAATAATAGAAAGAAGAAAAAACGCAAAATGAACGAGATGAAAGAAAAGGAAAAAAAGAAGAAGAGAAAAAAAAGGAGTGAAAAACTAAGGAGATCGGAGAAAAAGAAAGAAAGAAAAAAAGAGGACAAATAAAAGTCACTCAAAATCTCAAGAGTTTGAGTGACATTGTTGCATTAGTCTATTATGTATAATTTCTATTAAAAATCTCACAAAATTTATCTTGCACTTTATCTAAGGGTGAACACGTATTGAATTGGAGTAAAAATATATTTTGATTCGATCTAATCAACTTTAATTAAATTAGATGGATTTAGCTTTTCTTATTTTTGTTTTTTAGTCTCCAATACGAACCAATCCGATTTAATCATATTTGAATTGAATTAGATCGATTTATTAAATTTATTCGTAAAATAATTTTTTTTGAAAAATCATATTAGACAACTTATAAAATATATTTTTTATGTCATCAATTGATAAAATATTCAATATTATAATTTCTTTTATCAACATTGTAGAGTACTTATTACAATGTTGTAAATATCAAACTTAAAAAGTAATAAACATCATTATATTAAAACTTAAATCTATCCAACACCACAATCTATATATTTATTAGTTCGTCTCAATATGACAAGCTCAACAAAATATCCCTAGTGTTAATAGTTAATACAACCATCATCACAAAATTTTTAATATGTAATTACTACTTAACTTTGACAAATCAGAAACACTTATAATAAGAAAACAAAAAATTTGAGTTTCACTTTTGTCTTTTATACTAATTGAATGGGTCAGTTTCAATAAATAAAAAAAAGTTGAATTAGTCATTTATTTCTTCTTTATGTTTTTACTAATATCCCAAATTTTTTTTTGGTAAAGTATGAAACTAAAACAAACAGACAAGCTCAAGACATAGAGTCTCTTTCTAATGGTAGCAGGATAAAATCTGGAGGACTCCTCCAAAATACAGTGGAACCTAGGTTCCGTACACCCCAACCAGCAAGCGTATGGGCTACTGAATTTATCTCTCTAGGGATATGGCTTACGTACACTACCCAGTCCCGAACTAACATTCGCTTAACACGACGAATGACATCATAGTGTTTATGCAGGTAGTCCCTATCCGGTGACCGATCTTGAAGCATCATAACAGCTCCCAGGCAATCACATTCGCAGCTCACTTTCCGAAATCCTCCTTCCCAACAAAGCGATAAGCCTTCCTCCAAGGCCAACAGCTTCGCATGTAACGCATCTCCCTGTGAAGCCCCACGCGAAAAACCCCCCTGCCACATACCAACCCAATCACGAATTACGCCACCCATCCCCATAGCAGCAGTCCCACTCAACCAACTCCCATCCGTGTTTAATTTGACCCACGGGTGCTCCGGAGGCCTCCATAGTGGTTGCTCCACCCCTAAACGCCTCTTAGCATTATACACACTGTTCTCCACTGTAGACAGCAGCACTTTCCGACGGATCACCGAAACCCGCCAAAGCTCGCCATTAAACAGCATGTTATTCCTAAACCGCCAAACCCACCACAAAGTGATGGATAGTTCAATAACATCCTTGTGCAAAATAATCCCCTTCAGCCACTGAAAACAATCCATTACAGAGAAAGACCACCCCACACTGAACCCGCCAGACATCAGCACCTCTCGCGAGTACGGGCAGTCCCGAAGAGCATGTAAAATGGTCTCACGAGGGCAAGAACAGCGCGAGCATGCACCAGACTCGGCCAACCTCCTATCAGCCCGAACCTGATTCGTTGGGAGGGCTAAATGAAGGCATTGCCACAGGAAGAACTTCACCTTCTCAGGGACCATTACCTTCCAAATCTTCTTCCAAACTTCATCCCCCTCCGATGACAATACCGGGGTTAGAAAGCGATACCCAGATGCCGCTGTATAGCAACCCGAGATGTCACCCCTCCATGCAAAGTGGTCCAGCCCCAAGGAGGAACTTACGACACTCAACGGACGGACCGAGTGAACCAATTCGGCAGGGAGGACAGTGTGCAAGGCATTGAAGTTCCATTCTCCACTAACCCAGCAGTCTGCGACCGTCTTGTTTGTGTCCGCAATGTGAACAAATGGAACTTTCCCGCACCAAAGCCCAGTGCCTGTCCAGTCCGTGTACCAGAGGGATGAGGCACCCGACCCTAGGTGAGGCTAGAATCCCTCACGAAGTGAAGGTAGGGCCTTAATAAGACTTGACTAGATTGGAGAAGCACCCCGCCTGGTTTGAGCACACAGGATAGAGTCACCATGAAGGTATAGATTGTTGAGGAGATGAACCCAAGGCTTCTGTGGAGTCGATAGCATATCCCAAACTAACTTCCCAAGAAGGGATACATTCAGCTTGCGCGCCTCCCTAACCCTAAGGCCACCTAACTCTTTGGGTTGAGTAACAACCTCCCAACTCACTGGAGACCAAAACAGTGTGTTATCAGGCTTCGCCCAGAGCATACGTCAACCCGCCTGATCAATTTTGTTACACACTGCTTGGGGAAGCCATAACGATTGCATACTATATACAGGAATAGAGGAGATCGTAGACTTCACCAGGCACAACTTCCCTGCCTTATTAAGAAGCTTGGACTTCCAAGCTGCAAGTCTACCTTGGATCTTATCCATCACATCATAAAAATCTGCGCACCTCGGCTGACCATGCATCATGGGGACACCCAAATAACTCCCGATCCGAGCCGTATGACTAATTCCTAGAAATCCCTCTAACGTATCGATCCTACTCTGAGAAACCCTTCTAGAGCTCACAAACTTAGACTTAAGATTAACTCTCAAGCCTGATGAGCGCGAAAAATCCTCCAAGATTGACGCCACCAAACAAGCTTGGTCCTCGAAAGCTTGACTGAACAATAGAATATCATCCGCAAAGAGAAGGTGTGAAAGCGGTAGCCCCCCAGGAGATAGCTGAATCGGTTTCCAATGACCCTCTTGGAGCGACTCAGATATCTTAAGGGCTAGGTGCTCCATGCAGAAAACAAACAGGTATGGAGATAATGGGTCTCCCTGCCAAAGGCCACGAGACGGAACAAAGGACGGTAATGCACTTCCATTCCAAAGTAGTGAGATTGACGAGTTCTTCAACCCCCACATGATGAGTTGAATTGTGATCGTAGGGAAACCAAACTGCACCATCGTAGACTCCAAAAACTCCCACCTGACCCTGTCATATGCCTTTTCAAGGTCAATTTTTAAGGCCAAGGAACCCCCACCTAAGTCGTCTTTCCGAACAAAATGGAAGGCTTCCTGAGCAATAATATTGTGGTCACGAGTCCCCCTCCCGGGGATAAAGCTACCCTGGAAAGGACCAATGATGCCTTGCAAGAAAGGTCTAAGACGAGCCGCAATGACTTTGGAAATAACCTTCCAGGCGACGTTGCATAAGCTTATAGGACGAAAGTCTTTGAGGCTAATCGGATGGCTTACCTTCGGAATTAACACCATTTGTGTCTCCAAGAGCGATGTGTCCGAGAACTCCAACCGAAAGGCGTCCTTCACTGTACGCCATAGTTCACCCCCCACTACAGGCCAATACTGTTTGAAAAAGAACGGTTGAAACCCATCTGGCCTTGGTGCCTTGAACGACTTCATGCTCATCACCGTCCGGCGAACCTCCTCTTTTGTGACTGGGGCAGTTAAGGCAGACTGGGCCTCAACTCCCAAGCCAGGTGGAGCTCCAGTAAGCATATCCTGAGGCCCTTGCTCGTTATCACCCGAGAAATGCTCCTTATAGAATCTGACTGCCTCAGTTGTCATGACCGCAGGATCCGTATGCCAAGACCCATCTGGTAAAAACAACCCCTGTATCTTATTCCTCCATCTTCTCGCGAGTGTTTGAGCATGGAAGAAGGACGTGTTACGGTCCCCAAACTTCACCCACTTTTCTCTAGATTTCTGAAACCATAAGTACTCCTCCTGAAGACAAGTTTCATCCAACTCCGCTTGTATAGTCTTCTCTAAGCGCGACAGGCTCTCTGAATCTCCTAACTCGAGTTGTAGTTGTACCCCTTTGAGACGACGTTGGAGCCTTCTTCCTAGTTATTCCCAAACACTTCCCTGTTGAACTTGGTAGCATCTTCTCGAACAGCTCGTAACCCATTAGCAAGGGTTGGCGTAGTTCGACACCACGCCTCTCTAACAATTCGCTCAAAATCTCTATGGGTGGCCCATGCAGCTTGAAACCCAAAGGGTCGATCCTGAGACTTGTCCCTTGAGCCGTCACGTCGCAGTAAAAGAGGGCAATGATCAAAATAGACCCTACACAGGTTCTCAACGTATGCTTCCGGGAACATTGCTTGCCACACAATGTTGCACACCGCTCGATCTAAACGCTTTGCCAGCATAGACCCACGGTGATTTCGGTACCACGTAAAGCGAAGGCCCTTAGCCCCCATGTCGAGGAGATTGCAATCATTCAAGACCTCTAGAAACTGCGATGCCCTAGCCATCGAGAATTGACCACCCCTACACTCCGTTGACAACATAACTTCGTTGAAGTCCCCAAGCACTAGCCATGGCATTGTAACTCGTCCCCCCAACTCCCGAAGGTGAGCCCAGCCCTGCTGTCTGAGGTCCACCCTAGGACTAGCATAAACGGCAGTACAAACCCAGCTTTTGTTTCCTTCAACAACCGTGAACGAAATGGCCTGGGGGTGAGAGGCAAATTCAGAGGTCGTAGCAGAGCAAGACATCTCTATCAAAACCCAAATACCCCCGGAGTGCCCCGTAGCCTCACTGCTATAACACAACTTATCACCCATCTTCCTCCAAAAGGCTTCCACCGAAGAAAACTGGCAATGGGTTTCCAAGACAATAAAGATAGACGGCTGATGAAGCCTTACTAGCTCCGAGACCCTCCTTTTACCTTTGGCATTAAAAGCCCCTCGAATGTTCCAACACAATATATTAAAATTTGTCATCATTTAATAAACAAGACACGAAAGAAACTCACGCCAGCATGTCCTCCTCTTCCAATGGCGGGTCAAACTGCATAAAATCCTCCGTCCCCGGTATCACTTGTCCACTATCCTTTAACTCATGAACTACTTGGGTCATGCAACCGGTTTGGGTCACATTGGATGGCAACCTCCTATCCACGTCCCCTATCACTCCATCTTGCGCATCACGTGGATCACCGAGAGAGGAACCTGCATGCGCAACCAACGTATTCCCGCCAGCTAGCATGGGCCGTGGACGAGCACCAAGGGTCACTCCATCATGCGCATCTCGTGGGTCACCGAGAGGGGAACTTGCATGCTCGGACAACGTATTCCCACCAACTAGCATGGGTCGTGGACGAGCACCAAGGGTCTCCACTCTGCTACGTTTTTTATTTTCCTTATTGGGTCCCGTTGCAGTTTCATTCATGGTCTTCCCGTGGCCCACGTCGGTACTGCATACGTCTTGTGCATGTCTCTGTTCACGTGGAATAGTGGTTACGAGCACCTCACGTGGGTTATTAAAACCCTCACGTGATTCACCCTGAAATTGAATGCCCCTCGTAGGATAATTCGGGATAGCCTGATTCTTCTCCTTGCTGTCCGCAATCCCATTATGAAGAGAATATTTACCCTTGCTCCACGGTTTCCCAATATTCTGCTTCCTATTTCTACGTTTCACAATCAACCAATCTCCATGCGGATCTGGCGTGATCTCCCCCTGAACCTGCGGAATTGATTACTTTCCTGGTTGGGCAGCAGAATCTGCACTCTGCGGTGTGTCCCCTGACGGCTGCTCCACCGCCTCCTTCTCTCCCACGTCGTGTGCCGTTGCCTCAGGCCTAGCTACCTTTAGACAGTTTCGCAGAACATTTCCATAGCATCCACACGACGAGCACATCAAATGTAAACCCTCACACTCCACGTTATACCAAACACCATTGAGGAAGAACCTCCCTACAACTGGTTCATTGAGGTTTATCTCTACACAGACCCGTGCAAACCTGCCCCGTGTCATGTTCAGAGTATTAAGGTCCACCTTGATTGGTTTCCTTATGGCAGATGCAATTGTTAGGAGAACACTCTCATCATAGAACATAACGCCAAGCCCTGGGAACCTAATCTAGACGAGAGTACTGTCAACCTTCATTGCTGAGGCGACGAACTCCGGGGACCATGGTCTAACAATCAGATAGTGATCAAAGAGCATCCAAGGTCCCCTGTGTATGACCCGTTCTCTATACGCCTCCAAATCAAACTTCACCATAAAGTAACCATGTGACACGTCCCGTAACTCGAGACCTCCTTGATCCTTCCACAGGGCAGGCAGCCTGTCCCACAAGGTTAAGAACCCCACATCTCGTCCTAGTAGCTTGATCACTAAACATTGTTCCCATGGTTCACACAACTGCTTAAAGGTGGGTGTCGTGATGCTAAACTTGGGTAGCAACCGATCTCCACCCTCAAATTCCAACGTCATAGCCCCCTCCCTAATAAGATCTCGAACAGCCGGCCACTTGGTCGGGGCACCCAGAACCTTCTCCTTGAATGTCATCGACTGGCTCATCTGGAGGCCCCCAACGCCCCTGTCCGGCGGCTCCGACGGTGGTTGGCTCCCCATCGGCCTTCCCCAAATGCTCTCTCCCATTGAAAGTTTACCACCCCTCTACTAACATTAACATTACTATTAAATCCTAATTCATCCCAAATTTGATAACCCATCATCATAATAATAATAATAATAAACAAATAGTAAATTAAAATAATTAGATGGATCGATTTGGTTTAGTTCTTGAAAATCGAAATTCAAGATCCAAACTAAACTGATTGGATTTCTCATTTTCAAATCCTAACCGATTCTAATCCACTTTGTTTTTGGTTTAGATTTGATTGGATTCATTGTTTCATCAAATTGGATCAAACCTATGAGCACTCCTAATATAATCAACCAAAATTTACATGTATCTGAATATTGTAAAACTTTTTTAATTGAAAAAAATAACTGAATTAAATACCATTGAATTTTGACATATCATTTTTTTTTCTAAAACAAATACCACAAGACTTTTTTTTTTATATATTTTAGAAAAATCCTGATCGAATAACACATAAATTTTTTATTAGTGTTCTTATCGAAAATCTGCTATAGAGCTAATCCGCCAGGTAAGATCGGTGAGCCTCCTTCACGGGTACGTTGGTGCTCCAAGATGGGGGTGGTACCTGCAAAAGAGACTCCGATGCTCAAGTTAGTGTTTGTGGGAGTATGAGTCTCGTATAAATAATGCACGTACCTTTGTGTGAATTAGGGATGTGTTGGGCCTTGGGCCTGAGATCTGTTATGATCTGATTAGATAGTAGATCTCGTCTGGAGCGAGATCCTCGAGATCAGTTATGATCTGATTAGATTGTGGATCTCATCTTGAGCGAGATCTCCGAGATCAGTTATGATCTGATTAGGGAGATCAGTTATGATCTGATTAGATTGCGGATCTCATCTGGATCGAGATCTCCGAGATCAGTTATGATCTGATTAGATTGCGGATCTCGCTTAGGCCGAGATCTCCCAGTGCGTGCCCGAGGTTATTCCACGCTGTGATACCGAGCTCGAGCTCGGCATGGCAGTACGGATAGTACATTAGCCCCCCGAGCTCCGAAGACCGTAGGTCGAGGAGTTAAGTCCGAGCTCGTCAAGTGGCTGTGGCCCTTCGCGTACATCTGCCTATTGAGATGCCATGTGTCATAGCCGTCACCTCGTTCCCATAACGCGTGGGCGGCACGGCTACAAGATTGTATTTTTATTTGTTTTGATGGCGTGGCCTTTTTGGGCCGATGTGGTGTTCCGATGTCCATGTTTCATGGTCGAGCTGAGGAGCTCGACAATAATGAGCTTACTGCTTGGTTAGGCTGGTAAACCTTTGACCGAGTCAGCAGTTTGGTGAAGGACAAGTCGATAACTCGGTTGGCCAGTACACTTGCCCCCCAAGCACCGAGTGATGTAAGAGCAAAGGGGCTTCTGAGGAGTTCCCAAATTTGTTGTTTGAAGGTTCAAATTCGACCTTGTTAAGTAGATGTGATCTCAAGGTTCGGACTCGACCTTGGCATAATAAGGTTCGTACTCGACCTTGGTTAAGAAAATGTAATCTCAAGGTTCGGACTCGACCTCGGCATAACAAGGTTCGAATTCGACCTTGGTTAAGAAAATGCAATCTCAAGGTTCGGACTCGACCTCGGCATAACAAGGTTCGTACTCGACCTTGGTTAAGAAAATGTAATCTCAAGGTTCGGACTCGACCTCGGCATAACAAGGTTCGAATTCGACCTTGGTTAAAAAAATGTAATCTCAAGGTTCGGACTCGACCTCGGCATAACAAGGTTCGTACTCGACCTTGGTTAAGAAAATGTAATCTGAAGTTTCAGACTCGACCTTGGCATAACAAGGTTCGAATTTGACCTTGGTTAAAAAAATGTAATCTCAAGGTTGGGACTCGACCTTGGCATAACAAGGTTCGTACTCGACCTTGGCATAACAAGGTTCGTACTCGACCTTGGTTAAGAGAATGTGATCTCGAGGTTCGGACTCGACCTCGGCATAACAAGGTTCGTACTCGACCTTGGTTAGGAAAATGTAATCTCAAGGTTCGGACTCGACCTCGGCATAACAAGGTTCGTACTCGACCTTGGTTAAGAAAATGTAATCTCAAGGTTCGGACT